CTGGGGGCTCAATGCTGGGGAAGATGGCTGACTTCCTATGGAGGGAAAGAGATGGGGTCTAACGATTGAACTCCTACCTGCGTGGATGCGGATCCACGTTCTGGCCTTCTTCTCCAGAAGTTCCCACTCGCACTTCATTTGCTTAGCATTGGAATGCAGCCAGACCATTGCCAGGACTGTGGCCCAGCTTGAGGAATTTGCATCCTGTACCATAGAGAGAGACTTCCTGAAGCGTCCACGTGAGTGCTAGCAGCCCCTCAGGGGATGCAAACAGCTCCCACCCCAAGTCATTGCTCTGCCCCCATTTGCCCTGCTGGTAAATGTGATGACCTGTTCTCTCTATACCTCCTCTCCTCCTTGCAAGGCATAATGCCAGGCCCTGAACCTCAGGGCAATAATCAATCCCCTGAGTCTTAGGGTAGAAAAGTCTTAAATTCTAAATCCAGCTTAACCATCAAGATGGTGCTTAAAAGTCCTACAACATCCCCAACAAGGATAACTAAGCTATGATAAAAGAAACACATGCATAATCACTTTGCATAATAGATCTTCATTTGAATCTTTGCCAAACAAAAAAAAGAGGAATTATCAATAATGACCTTTGTAAGAGAGAAAAGAGATTCTCACGAAAGTGAAATGGTTTGCCCAAAGTTAGCCTTCTAGCAAACAACACAGCTTGGCCTGGAGGCCCCAATATTCTGATTCGAGTCATACTGCTCATGTCACTCAAGACAGAGTCTCAGCCACAGAACAGAAAACGGTCTTCTGTGAGTTTTCACCCATGGTCCCAACCTCAGTTTTGGGAGTCAACAGATCAAGAAAAAATTGTTCTTTTATAGCATGACCTTTATTTTTTTTTATTTTTTATTTTTTTTTAGCATGACCTTTAAAATCTGTAAACAGCTATCGGGTCCTCTCTGAGGAGTCCTGCTTTTTTTTTTTTTTTAACAATAAATTTATTTTTTATTGGTGTTCAATTTGCCAACATACAGAATAACACCCAGTGCTCATCCCGTCAAGTGCCCCCCTCAGTGCCCACAGGAGTCCTGTTTTAACCAAAATTCTCAATTCCTTTAATTCTTCTTTAAGAGGACTGCTCATGTCAAAGCAGTGAGAATCCCCATGCTTGATCTAGCCTAGAAACATGGTTTTTAAAATTACATCTCCTTAAATGGTCATATCTGAAGGTCAGTGTACTTATGAAATACTATGACCACAGCCCAAAATATACAACACACACAGCTCTTTTCACAACCCCATTGTCACTGATACACTGATTATGTATCATGTCTGCTGGTTCACAGGCAGTTGACGATCACCTCAAATCTCCCTGTGCAACAGCTCTGAAGTCATTTTGCTTGTATCTCTACTTAAATAGTTGAGGCTTTAGAACCAAAAACAGCATTTTGATTCCTAGTAAGTTTTGTTTTGTTTCACAAAAAATTGCAAATCATTCATTGTTCAAGGTCTTTTGGGATCTCAATTATTCTTAATACCTCATCTCCCAGTTTTAGCAAATTTACAACCAGGAAAGCATGGGATCTGAATCTTTACTGAAAATATAAACCTCCAGAGAATTCAGAGCCCAGTTGCTCTAAAAATCTGTTTTGAATTTGAATAAATTCATTATTCAGTGCCATGAATTTTTCAATGAGTTGGTTCTCAGTACATATACTCATCATTTACAAAATTCAAATTCCTCACTGAAATTCAGGTACAACAGGGTTTCTGAGCTCCTGGATTTATTGGCCCAGTTACCATGTCAAAGAAGGAAATGTTAGTCTGACCTGTCATTGGTTTCCCAATGAAACCAAGTTAGAATGTCATAATTTTTGTGTTTGTTGTTAAATTATCCTTTTAATTATTTGGTCTAGAACAATATTTTTTAATAGAAATATAATGCTAGACACACATAATCTTAAATGTCCTAGTAGCCACATGTAAAAAAATAAAAACGGGTACAATTATTTTACCAATATGTTTTATCTAACCTAACATATTAAAAATGTGATTTTAACATGTAATCAATATAAAATTTATTGATGAATATTTACATTTTTTACATTAGTTTTAAATCAGCATGTGTTTCAGTTATAGGATATTTGAATTCAATTAAGGATTTGGCTTCTCATTTGCATTAGCCATATTTCAAGTGCTCAAGAGCCACATGACTAGTAGACACTGTATTAGGTGATGCAGCTCTAGGATTTCTGAGGTTTATTTAAATAACTTTCACATTTTGAAAATTCAGAATGACACCCATCCTTCAGGTTTTTGGAATTTTGCCCATATTTAACAATTTCTCAATTAGAAGATTTGGTAAGTTACCTTGAAATTGTGGAGCATAACTTGTCCTCATCAGCATAGTCAAACACATTTGAAATAACTAAGTCATCCCTATTAATATGTCACCTATCCTGACTTCAGAAAAATTTTGCCAGGCTATGGACCACGTCCTTTATTTTGAAGAGAAGCAATGTGGGTCCTGAAAACAGTTCTAGAATTGAGTCCAGAACTGACTGGCTGGGTAAACTCAGATGCATTATTAGAGTTCTCTATAAACAACAATGCAAATAGGATTTGCCTTATTTAATTATGGTGATGAACAAATAAGTGGATGTTAAGTGCTTAGCACAGTGTCTGGCACAGAGTAATTGTTCAAAAAATTTAGATGATTGGCAAGGAATATAAACTAAAAGAGGATGCTTGATCTCCCTTTGTCAACCGTCGATTCCCATCAACTAGGTTATTAGTTCTTGTTCTTTCTGCTCTAACATTCCAAGAAAAAATCTTCAACTTCTATTTATGAGAAATTAATTTAGTTTATGGCCTTCTCTATTCTCCTTTCTCAGCTGAATCATGATTCACCCCAAATCTCATTACTGACTTCAACCTCTCAAAAGCATGCATATTCTTTTTTCTTCTCTGAATCTTACCTTGACAGGGATTGCAGCCAGTAGGTCTTCTAAACTTCTACCTAGGATCCCAGCCAGATTTTCATCTGGATACCAGGAACCATCTGCATTCTGGAGGGAAATCAGCTGTACAAGATGATTATCCCCAAAGACTTTGGGGAAGAAAAAAAAAAGAAAGGATTAGAAATTAGGAGCCACTGACCCCTTAGCATACCTGAGAAAGACAGGTCTGACTTCAGAGACAGGCTATCGCAAGAGCGTAGAGCGAAGCAGATCCTACCAAGATACCTGTTATAGTCCTTTCCCTGTATTTTCTCTGTGACAATGTAGTTCACCTGAGTGATATACTATCTTTAGGGGAGCTGGACTTAAAAATTTAGCAACAAGGAAATGATAATGCTGCTTAAAGTTTTATCCAGTTCTATGTAAATGGGCCTTAAAACTTGACATATATTTAAAAATTCTAGACCAGTATATCTTGAATGTTAATTATAAAAAAAAATCAAAAGAAAGCAGATATAAAGGAAGCCTCAGCAATGTACCTCAAAGAATAGTCTAGTGTCTGTCTAATCCTGGTGGTTGGACAATTGCTTAAAGACCACACAGAAAGTATTTCACATCTGGCTGTCATATATGATGATGTACCTAATAGCAACTTAAAAATTAGCAGGTAAGAATAACCATAACTAGAAAAAACGATTCTACTCTAATGGGAACAAAAAATTTAAGGCTCTGAATTTCAATCATCTTAGTTTGAATCTCAGCTTTGCTAATGCTCAAAACGCAATGGTTATATAACAAATGGGAATCTCAGTCTTCTCTGTAAACTGGAGCTAACAATGCCTATTGCATGAGGAAGAATGCAAAGTACCAAGAAGGCCACTTGTTGGCTCCCTACAAAAAGTAGTTGCTAATTAGTTCACAAAAAAACAGAAGTTTAACACTCTTGAGTAATTTTTCTCTCTACTTGGGTAAGAGGATTCATAAGAGAGAGAGGTCAGAGCTGGGTTATTCTAAGCTAGGAAGGCCTAGGGAACTAATATAAAGCGAGAAGTTACTCTGTGGCTAACATTCAGAATTTTCTTATGACAGCCCGTGAGGTGGGTAGTTGTGCACCTGAGGGAACTAAGGCTCTAGAAAGTGAATTAATTTGCCTAAAACCCTACAGTAATTGGAGGACAGAGATCTGACTCCACCTGAGACCTTGATGCCCTCTCTAACTACCAGCCTAAAGAGAATGAATACAAAGAGGGTAAATGGCAAATAAGATGTTTAAACAATTAAACAACTGTATATGACAAATCTTGCTACAAAAACTGGAGACTAGAAAGAAGTTGCCTTTAAGACCATTTGAGTAGAAAAGGCACCTCTTGGTGGTAAAATGTACTTTGACTCAATCTGTCACATACAGGAGAAGCCCAGCTGCTTGGAACACAAGGTAATGGCCAAGGAACACCCTCTGGCAACAGAATGAGTCATTAGCCAGCATTGGAAAGATCCCTTTTCAAACCCAATGTAGCAGGTGGCTCAAAGAAGGCAGCAGCAGAGTTCTGCAGGGGGAGGGCCCAGCTTGTAGGCCTGCTGGTTGAGCTGAGATGGTAAGGGGGTGCATTTAAATAGGGCTTAACCCAGGCTCTGCTGGGTAGGTTTCACTGTAGACTAATGAAGGTGGGCTGACCCTGGGAAACATAGGAGCTAGACAAATCTCACCCTCTACCTGACACTTTTCAAAGAGATTACCTCTTAGCTAGAGAAAGCCAAAGGAAGCAGAGCGTAGAAGATTGGTTCTTCAGTCCCCACAGATCAGAGAAGAGAATTGAGGCCCATCTTACCTGTTGGGTGAGTTTCCAAGTTCATCCTGTTGGTGGAAGAATGAGCCCTTTCTATCTCAGAAGAGGCATCTTTGAAAGACATGCATTGCTTCCTTAGTGTATGATCAGGAGCAGGGGACCTGTCTAGTCCTATATATGTGACAGACAAATATGGGTGAGAAAAAAATCCCTGGAAATATGCTCACCTAGAGCGCACATCTCCTTGCTAATCATGGGCCTACAGGGTTTGTAATCATCCCGTTGAAATGACACGCTTGGGTAATGATTGGTCCGTGTGGGCTGAGATGCAGGAGGAGAGTAGGAGGATGAGGGCTTTGAATGAGCTGAAAAACACCAGTACAGACATTAAGGCTGAGATACCCTCTGCTCTCTGCTACAGGCAAAGGGTCCTGAGAATGTGGGCCACATGCCCTCCTATCCATGTCTGCCTCAGCTACCATCTTCACTGTGCATTTTTTTCTTCTCCCATGAGCCCACCTCCTGCACACGCCCTCATCCCCTGAGCCTTTCCTACTGTGTCCTCTGGAACCCTTGATACTTGTCAATGATCTTTCCTGCATCTTTCCTTTCATAACAGGAGTCTTTTTCCAACTACTTATCTTAACAAAACTAATTTCTTCTTCTAAAAACCATTTTCCCTATATCCCTCTGTCCCTCTCTTTGGGTGCTCTCTTGAGGTACCACAGCCCAAGCGCCCAGGTTTGGAAAGTAAGATGGGCAACCTCTTCAGTTCCAATTGTGGCATCCAGCTCATTACTGCTCCACCCCCATCTGGATTGCCTCCCTCACAGTCATTTAGGGCTGCCTCCCACCTCTCTGTCACTTCCCATTATGCACTAAAGTATCTAGATATAGTTTCTAGACTTCTACTTCATTTCAAGGCCTGCCATCATCTTGAGAGAGTTCAGTACCCTTTTAGGTAACCTATCCAGCACTCTCATTCAAAGCTTCTTGACTTCCTCAAATCAAATGGTTTCAGCCTTCATTCTACTTCAGCCACTCCCTCCCAAGCCAGAATCTTGTTATCCAGCAGAATTGTTCCACCTGTAAAAAACAAACTGGGGGGAAAAAAAGCAATCCTACTTTTTACATATAATATCCAATTTTTGCAGCCTTCTGACTCAAAGTTCTTTTACCTGGTCTTTGACTTCATCTGGACCTCTAAATCTGTGTCTCCTCTGCTTTTTCCCTACAATCCACTTCCTTCCATATTTAGTATATTTTCTATTTAGCTTCAATCCTGAGTCCAACACTTCACCATTCTCTATCCAGTCTCTCCAATTCCAAGTACCTGATTTCCTTTTCATCACACACCAGGCAAAATCCCAACCTCAAAAAAGAGCCAACACTGTGCCCTCTTTGTTCTTACACCAAAGCTGCTGAGTCCTGCTGTAGTGAACCACATGGGCTCGGCTTCCCTTAGTTTAGTGCCACTAAAAAAGTCAAGGTATCAGAATTAAACCACATGCTCAACACTTCTTGGCAAATGCTTTATTTCTCCCTTGGAATTTCACCCTCCAATCATCCATCTTTCAAATCCTTTCCTCAAACTCTATTCTACAACGTCTTGTTTCATACTCATTAGTTATATTTGCTGTTTCACTAAAACTATTGAAAACTCATCAGACAGAAACTCCAAGCTCTTGCTCCTCAGCCAGTAAACTAGAATCAAACTACCACCTTTCCTCCTCTTCCTGGCAATACTGGGACAGCATCTTTAGTTACAACCTAGATGTTAAGTATTCCCAAATGTGTATCTTTATCCCTCAACTCTCCTCCTCTGAGCACCAAACCCATCTATTTGTTTTCTTACTGGACATCTTCATATAGATATTCCATAAGGATCTCAAGTTCAAAATACTCAAAAATAATTCAACATGCTACCTTCTAAACTTGACCTTGTTCTTCTCTTACTCTATTTAAATAAATGGAACCATTATACATGCAGTTGTCCAAACAAAAATCTGGGCTCACCTTGAAGCCTGTCTCTACAACAAACATTAAACATTCCCCTCCAGCCACAGAATACTGCCCAGGAAATTTCTCTACCTTATTCTAACTAAGCCCCTTATATCTATTCTCAAGGCTGCTTGGGTTTCACTTGGGACACCCATTCCCTAACACTCCCAGACCATTACCATCAGCCACCTGTATCATCATTAATCATCTAATTATCCATAGGATAAATCAGCTTCATATTGAGACAGTTTGAATACTCAATATTTATTTACACTTTCTGTTTTAATTTTCCTTGTTTCTTTTTCCCCCTTGGATTATTTAGAATCTCCTTGGTTCCCCAGAAAGGCACCAAACCAGCCAGAAATCCTAAGTATGGAGAGACAAGGGAAAAAAATCACTGTCACATGCTTTTACTTCAAATGATGTGTTTAGATATCCAGGGCCCTTTATTTTACATGAGTTTGAATGGGGTAAAACTCACCACCTCTATGGAATCGTGGTATCATTGAAGCAGCACCCAACAGAATTGGCCTTGGAACATCCCTACGAGCCAGGGGTCCCTGAACTGGCTTGTTGAGACTTTTGTTGACGGCAATGAAAGCTGTCTGGGAGCTTATGACTCCACAGTCAATGCTGACCTTCAGCACATCTTTTTTATCTTTTGCTGGAGTGTCCCTGAAGCCCATATCCTTGGTCTGGAGAAAGGACTTAGCAGCAAGGCGGTGAATGGTGAAGCTAAAAGAAAATCATCCCGTTACTCAGGGCCCTCAAAAGTTAGCATGAGTAGAGTGAGGAAAAAGCCAGATAAAGAGATATATAAGACTTGAATGGGTTAGAAAGGCAAAGTGATTGTAGGGACACAACTGAGCCCCCCAAATTAAGAGGAAGGAAACCAAGCCTTTCAAGAATAGCAGAGACCAAAACAAAACAAAAACACAAAAGGACAAAAATAACAAAGCAACTGAATTCTCACTTGTCATCGGGCTTGGGTTGCAGAAAAAATGTCACCCTATTCTCGAAACTCTTGCCCTGGAGCATGTATTTGAGGCAGACTTCTCCTGTCGCATCTGCTGGCTACAAAGTAGACAAGAATAGACACAATGGAAGGGAGAGTCACCAAGTAAAAGTCATAGCTGAGGAAACACCCCAACCCAACACATGAAAATGTCTGACTAGGAACCAGATAGCTGAGGAAATCAGAACCCTGAAATTATGGAGAACAGTGTTAGCAGGCTCTACCCGGCAAGTGTGACCTCTTGATGAGACTCCGCCAGTTTTAAGAAAATTGTCCAGAGCAGAGTTGAGGGAAGTAGCTACTCTGATGAGAGGAACAAATAAGAATAGGAACTCACCGGCATGGTCCCACTCAAAAGGGCATAGATGATTAACCTCTGACCCCTATAGAGGACAGTCTGTTCTGGTGAAAGCATTTTAGCAGACAGGCCACGAGGCAAATCCCAGCTCACAGATATATCTTCTACTGCAGGCTGTAGAGCACGTTTTAAGGCACTAAGAGCCTGGTGGAGGAAAGAGAACAGAGTAAGCACAGAAAATAATAATAGCAATAATAACCACTGTTAACTGAACATTTATTATACATCACATTCTATGCAACACAGTACATGCTGTGTCTATTCCTTAATACTATACTAGGACATGGTAAGGGAGGATAAGGTAAAGAATGACACCACCCAAGAAAGAGGAACTCACAAGTAGCAGCAGAGGTCAAAGATGCCTTCCCTCGTGTGTACTAACCAAATGCAGTATCAATGTACCACCTCACCAATCCACCAGACATATTACATTGTTCCTTCGTGTTTTCTTTGTCTCATTTGCATGGAAGATAGGATATAGCCAACCAAAAGAGTTCCTCAAGCACACTTGTAGGATCTAAATCATGACAGTCAAAATTCTTTTTTTCTCCATTTCTGTTCTTAAACACAAAACCCTAACCTCTTCCAGTATCTTGTCTCTGGGCTTCCAACGAGTAGGATCAGAGGCCATTTCTCTAGAAACTATAGTGGGCACCTTTTCCATAAGGCCAAAAGTAGCCCCACTGTGTATTATAGCCCAAGGCATTATGGATATAAGAATATGAATCGGGCAGCCCCGGTGGCTCAGCGGTTTGGCACGATCCTGGAGATCTAGGATCCAGTCCCACGTCAGGCTCTCTGCATGGAGCCTGCTCTGTCTCTGCCTGTGTCTCTGCCTCTCTCTCTCTGTCTATCATGAATAAATAAATAATAAAATCTTAAAAAAAAAAAAGAATATGAATCCTAGTGTCAAGCTGTTGCCTCTGCTTTTGTGGCAATGTCCCCTCTGCTCCACACTCCCTCTGGATCACCACCTCTGGACACAAGGCCTGCCCCTCACCTTGGACTGCATCCTGGCCTTGCCGGTGATAAATTCTGAAGTGCCGCCTGCTACACGGGCAATGCCTTTTATTAGGCTGGTAGAGGCTCCTTCTCCAATACCAAAGGAGAAACATCTGCAATTGTACAAGGATAAGAGCTTAGAGTGAAATTATAACATTAATACATAATAGTGAAGAATACCTAAAGAGATAGTCTTTTCCTTGACCAAAAGCATAATAGCTACAATTTATTGAGCAGATTCTATATTTCAGGAGACAAAATGCCTTACTGATGTGATTTAATCATTACAAGATTCCTAAGAGGCAGCCTTATGCTTCATTTTATGGATATGAAACTGAAGCCCAAAGAATTTAAGAAATATGTCCAAGATCGCACACCTACTATGGTGCAGATAACATTTGAGTACTGGTTTATCTGACTGTAAGAGCCCCCTGGTAAAAATATATATTATACTGATTCTAGAGGCAGAAAAAAAAAAAAAACAAAAACCACAGGACTATAGCCTCATCAATTATTTTAATAATAAATCCAAAGAATTGGTTCATCAGACAGTGCTGAGTTAGGACAAAATAGCCCCTATTATTAATGCTTGACTAATATTGTACTGGAACCCCATCTGCCCTGGCAAGACTAGTCTTAGGGTAGGAAAGGGTTTTAACTGGAGAGTTCTCTCCCTGCCATAGTCTATGTGCACCAAATAGCTTTGTAATCACAGTTTGCTTCCCAGATGGAACTGTTTATAGACAGAATGTGTTAATAGTAATAGAAGCATTTTTAGAAGGCATGACAAGGAGATTTCTCATTGTAAATTAATACACTGGAATTTTGGCTTCTGTATCAGTCTCTTTTGAACTGGGTTAATGTGAATCATCATCCCCAATTCTAGTGATGTCAGCAACAGGACTAATACTCTAAAATTGTAGGGCTAAGAACCGAACTTCTAATTATGGTAACCTACCTATGACAGTGCCCCCTAGAGATCACATCTTGATATTAACACCTTCAAATTTCCAACAAGGTCCTACAACTGTAGCCTACATTTCTTATGGCTTCCAAAGGGCATTTATGTGTATATTTAAGTGTTTTATTTATAAAACTAAAGCTAAGCAATGTTTATTGATTTCTAACAATATGCTTAGAACTGAAGTGCTTCTTTGGATGATAATAATAAAGATGATAATTATAATAATGGCAAAAATTCATATAGCACATATTTTGTGTGTCCAGCACAGTTCTTAATGCTTTACGTAAGTATACCCTTTGAACCCTCACAGTAAACCCATAAGGTAAGTACTGTTATTATTCCCATTTTCAAATGAGGAAACTAAGACTTAGGGAGTTTACTTGATGTATCCAAACAGCTAGCAAGCAGCAGAAGTGGAACTTAACTACATGATTTTTGACTTAGAGTAGAACACCATAGGACACCAGAACACCATTCTGCTCACAGCAATGCCAAATTTCTTTCAGCCAGTAGAGAACTGGAAAAGCTGTATACAATATTCTTAATAATCTTCTTGAAAATATCAAATGATTACCAAAACTATGGGAATCTATGGGCCATGACATGGAGAGGAGGGAGGCCAAGAGTGATGGGCGTGGCATCTGGTATCCCATTAACCCTTGAAGCTAGTGTCAAGTACTAAATGGATGGCTCAAAGACTAAGAAGCCAAGCAGTTTCAGACTTGGACTTTCCAAAGAGAAGGTGCCCTTATAGATACCCCAGGTTTTTTAATACAACCCTGCAGAACTATAGCCCAGAGGTAGAGAGGGATCTGAAATAAACTAGCCACCAAATGAGCTTCAGTCATTTGACTCTAATTGGACTCAGATTATCTGCTTCTAGTCTAGCAACCCATCAGAAGCAGAGTACATCCTCACAGAGGGAAGATAATATCATCTAGAGGTTCTAAGAATTTCTATGGCTTTTCATATAAAATATCTTGACAACTAACAAGAGAATAGAAAAGTCTCCAAACGGAAATTATACACTAAACTTCTGAATAACATAGGCTTTAAAAAAATCATAATGGTAATTAGAAAATCTTAAGTGGATGTCAATGGAAAGTGACAGATCTAGAATTAAGATTCAGATGTAGACATGCTTAAATTTAAGGATCTAAATACATATATTAGAAAAGAAAAAGAAGTCTCAAAATCAACTACCTGAGTATCCATCTCCAGATATTAGGAAAAGAACAGCCAGTAAACCCAAAGAATTTAAAGGGAAATGAATATAAACAGGAGTGAATTTAAAGGGAAATAATAAAGATGGAGGCAAGCATTATTGATAGAAAAAACTATCATACAATAGAGAGGATTTTAAAACCTTAAAAGTACCGGTGCTCTGAAAGGATTATTAAAATTGACAAGCATTTAGGACAAGGAGAAAAACAGGGAAAACACAAATAATCAACATCAGGAAAGAAAAGCTAATATATAACAGATTCTGCAAAAATTAACAACAGCATAAGATAATACAGCATAAGAGAATTTTATGAAAAGAAATTTGAAAATTTAGATAAAATATACAAACTCTCATAAAAAGCAAAAACATATGGAAGTACGAATAGTCCATTTCAATGAAAGAGATTTAAAAACTTTCCCATAAGAACAGCCTCAAAAAAAAAATAAAAATAAAAAAAATAATAATAAGAACAGCCTCCTGGCAACTTCTAGTAAACATTTAATAAAGAAAATCTTTCAGATAATAGAAAAATAGACAACTCTTCTCAGCTTATTTTATGATGCCAGTATAACATTGATATCAAAATCTGACAAGAATATTATAAGAAAAGAAAATACATGTTAATATTTCTCATGAAAACAGATTTAAAAATTCCAAACAGGTTTAGCCAACTGAATCCAAAAATACATAGAGAAGGTTAATAGACCACAACTTATTTGGTTTTATTTCAGAAATGCAAAATTGGTCTAACACTGGTCATTAAAATTCACACAAAAAAGGATAAAATCATACACTCATCTAAATATATACATAAGGTATCTTTGATATAATTCCACATTCATTATTTTTGTAAAAAAAAAAAGAAATCTCAAAACAAAAATAAAATTTCCTTAATCTGATAACCCTCCAAACAGAAGCAAAATTTCTTTAGTCTGATAAAAGAATCTACAAAAAAAATCTATAGTCAACAATCACACTTATTGATGCAGTGTTGAACATGTTCCCTCTGAAGTATTTTAAAATACTTAAAATATATGTATTTTTCCCAAAATGTTTAATATTACTCTCAACATGAATTTAAATAGTCAAATAAATATACATTGAGATTCTACAAAAATAACTAGCTAGTACTTTTTGAAAATATCAGTGTCATGAAAGATAATGAAAAGCTGAGGATCTTTCCCAGAGTAAAGATTAAATAATCCATGGTGCTTTAAGTTAAGAAAGCTATTTCCTTTGGAGAGGAAAAAGTTGGTAGTGACCAACTCTAATTCATCCAGCTGTATCCTTGAGATTTGTGTAGCTTTGTGTACGCTCTACTTTGATAGAAATGTTTATGGTTAAAAAAAAAACCCTCATATTATTCAATTTTGGTTTCCATTGTGGTTTAGAAAGAATAAGGGACAATAACTTTGTGGCATTATTGACGTTATTTAGAAAATTACTTTTATCTTTTAGTAGAGAGGGGGAAATGATATAGAAAAAGCTTGTTGGCTAGGAAAACTAAACTTCTAGAATCTTCTGTCCTCTGAAAGGAATGTCAACACTGGGATCTTGTGGCACTAGATTACATGTGGCACTAGATGGGTCAATTACCCAGAAATCACATCCTCTTCATACCTGTGTTTCGTCCTGTTCCTCCTGACTTCATTAATTACGCTAAATGTGTCAGTAACTTCTCCATCTGTGAAGATAAAAAGCTGTCAAAAGAAAGAAGACATTCATCAAATCTCTGCAAAGACCATTTTTCAGATACTACAATATATCCTTGGGAAAAATCAACCATTTCATTCCAGAGATCGATGCCTCTGCAGACTGGCATGAGGTCCCTAATTTTCCATGGTCACTTGCACCATGTTCTCACAAAATTTGTTGGGCATCTGGGATTTTCCTCACCTCTCCCTTCTCGTCTCACCGCAGGCTTCTGTGGCACTTTGCAAAAGGACCTCCATCGCCCACAGCACAGAGCTAAGGAAGAGAATTCTATTACATGCCTCCTTTTTTCTCTTTATTATATGATAGGAGGCCCTGAATTATATGTCATATTTTAACAATCCTACAATGAAGCCCCGGAACAGATTCTTGAACAGAGATTTCTTTTCTCCACTGCCTTCTATTAGCTCTCTTCCAGGTCCTACCTGTAGGGGGTGGCCCGGGATGGAAGGTTCCCCGTAGATGATCTGGAGTGGTGTCAAGATTTCTGTGCCCCCCAGGTCAGCCCGCATAAGCTGAACTCTCCTCAGTGCTTCCTCCATGGTCTGCTGAGTGTATTTCACACTATTCCTGAGAAAAACAAACATGCCCAGTGATGTGATAGCTGTTCAAAAACACATATTATCGAGTCCCTGAATCGAGATGCCCCCACTGTAAACAACCTCACCTGAAATGCCCAATGCCAAAGTCAACCATGCGGTAACCCCCTTCAACAATCTAGTCCTTTCTTTAAAGTATCTTTTTGGACTCTCTATGGACTTTCTAGAAACTTACGGAAAGAATGCCTCATAGGAAGTTCCAAATCCATAGACATTGAAATAACAGCCTATAGGCAAACTCTTCAGCAGCAAAATCAGTGTTTCCTGAAGGAAGAGAGGAGGAGATAGTGAGAGAGGATCCTCTCAGGCACAGATGCTGTCAATCTAACTCTTGAGGGGGGTAAGGGTTGGCCTTCACCCACTTCTTGAGTCCAGGCCCTTATATAACAAGGCTAGCATGTTATGGTCATGTTAGATGTAGTGCAGATGGTGAACACACTCAAAGTTCCAGATGGGCCCTAACTTAACCCCAAAGATTCATCCTCATTTGTACATGTGACCAGAAAAAGGAAGTAGCTAGTTTTACCTTGGCTGCCTCTATGCGCAGCTGAGATTTATCCTGTTTACTTATGGGGCAATGCATACTTCCTGAGCGGTCCATGAGGAAGACAAATTCTCCACAGATAACTGGTGACTCAACTTCTGGGATGTTTGGATAGAAACACACCATCGCAGATGGATCCTTCATCAAACCATCTCCTGTGAAAGGATAAGAACATTTTACCATGAAAAGGAACTCAAGAATACTAAAGACCTCAAGAATCAATTGTAGTGAGTTATATAAGGAGTTGAAAAAATCCAAATCTATAACACTGTTTGATCTTCGTACTGGATCTGCTGGCAAAGGATTTGAGGTGAGTTATAAACATAAAAGATATAGAAGCAGAAAAGATATGAAAGAGAAAAAAGGAGGTAGAGATTACCAGGCACAAACAATAAATTAAAAAATATAATTATATGCTAGTTTCCTAGCAGCTAGGTAAATGAGTGAAATGCATGAATTGAAAATGTTCCAGCATTTGCCAGAAGAATGAAGCTAATTTATTTGCAGAGACACCCTCCCTTCAAATCAATGAGAAATTTATTACACGGGTCCTTGTTTAAGTCTTTACACTTTTGAAAAAAATGAAGCTCATAGGCGATTCATATGTTGACAGTTTGCAAGAGCTGAGAGTATAGCGTCATTCATACCAAGGAAAGTTTGCCTGCTTTGGGTATGAAATACTCACTGATACTCTCCAGAACTGGGATGTGTGTTAGACTCTAATAGCATCACCCAAACAATACTATGAAGGAAACCATGGGAGTTTGGCCTTTGTCACCGAGGTGTCAACGTTTTGATTTTATTTTGAGGAATAAGTGAAAACTGATGCAGGAATTGAAATGGTAGTATTGAGATAGAGATGAAATGAGAATGCCTAGGTTATATCCACTTGTTTTGCAGAAAATATTAGTTGACAAAGAATTGAATTCCAATATCCTATTTTTATAAAGTGGGTCCAGGACGATAGGTTTAAATTCTCAGTAGCCTTGGGATTCAGTATGATTAAAGGATGTGGCTCCATTTAATCTCCTGCCCCTGGGATACCCCAACAACCAAACTGGCTTCCAAATAAAATGGGTGCAGCTCAGCAAATATTTGTTTGACCACTGGTTCAAGGATAAGTTCTAAACCTTCCAGATTTCTGCATATATGGTAGAAGAGTAGCTTTTCTTAAAAGGCAAGGTAAATTGCTTTCCATTTTAAGACACAGCTGATTGTAGTGGAATTGGTGCTAGACTGCTAAGTCAGAAAGGCTGCCATGACAATGAAGTGGGTACATATATCTAATGTGTTTAGGATAATCCCAGATACACAGTGTGTACTATCTGGATATTTCTACTATAATTCCTTTCATATTATTCATATTCATATTATTTTCACCTTCACGAGTTTCTGCTTCCTCATTTTTAAATAAGGCACTTCAGGCCCTGGCTCCTGTGTTTGCTAACCTCAGTTTCTTCATCTGAAGAATCCAATTAGTGATACCTGCCTCATGATTATTTTAAGGGTTAAGTGATATCATACATGTAAGGGACTCAACCTAGGGCTTAGCTCACGTTAAATTTTTAATAACAATTCTAGAAAATTCTTTATAATTTTTATGTTATTTTATTGAATTATACATACAATTTTTAAAAATCATGTTCTTGATATTTAGTTAAGTACATTCTAAGTACTTAACATAAACACATATTTTGTATTTTCATCACATAGTGGTATGCTTCATTGAGAACTCTCAATGGTTTTAGTGACCCCAGCTGCCAGTTGTCATTTGCTTCTTTATATGGATGGGAACAGCAGGTTGTCTTGACCAGATATATGATCTGAGTGGCCCTGCTAGAAGGGAGTCACAAGATCATAAAGGCTGCCCTGGCTCTCCCCTCTGGCCTACAGGGCTTACCACAGGAACAGATCAGGAATTCTACATGGGGGCCAAGGGAATTTCTTGGAAGGAAAGGAATTGAAATCTCAATTCATACCTACTAAGATTCAGCATTATAAAACTTTCTCTGGTGGATTAAAATAATCCTAACTGAAGACTAGTTCTTCAGTGGAAGTATTTCATGGGCACCCAAGGGAGAACCCACAAAAGGGAAAGGACAAAAGCAGTACAAAAGGACTAAACTAATGTATAAACACAGAGCATGGAGCTTCATGGAAGAGGAGCTGGAGCAAACCTGATTAAGATGGAGCCCCACTAAGGGCTTTAGCATGGACAGCTTGCATGAAGGAAAAATTGTTGAACAAGTGAGTACAAAGTAAGGAGCTCTCAGCAATCTTGGCCAAACATTAACAATGAGAGAGGATGGCTATGAAGGACCAATTACAGGAAATGGTCTTCATAGTAGTTGTAGTTACAGAAGTAAGGAACCTAATCCAAGCTATAGTATTTTGACTATGACTGTCCCCAAACATCCTTCCATTCCACCAATGTGGAAAATGCTTCAGAAGTATCTCTCTAGTGAGGCTTCATGATCCCTGAAATCCAAGGCTGGCTGCCTAGGAAGACTTCAAGAGAGCAACAGATTGACATGGGTGATAGTAGTAATAAGGAAAAGTGCACATGTAGTCAAGAAAATTTAGAAAATAAGAGAAATTAAAGAAATTAATAAAACTATTTTTTTTATTTTTTAAATGTATTTATTCATTTGAGAAAGAGAGAAGGACAGAGTGTGAGCGGTGGGGAAGAAGCAGAGGGAAAGGGAGCAGCAGGCTCCCTGATAAGCAGGGAGCCTGATGTGGGGCTGGATCCCAGGACCCCAGGATAATGACCTGAGCCGAAGACAGATGCTCAACCCACTGAGCCACCCAGATGTCCCAATAAACTAAATTTATTACAAAACTAAACTTAGTCTTAGAAATTAAGATACTAGGGTGAGATGAAAAATCTCTGGAGATGGATGATGAGGCATTATCAGATTTGGAAGTCTTGGATAATTTGAAAACTGAAAATGTCACATCATTATTTTTATTTTTCCCTGTAAATGAATATTTACTTTTTTATTGATAATAATAAACACTTGTGTGTAATTAACACAAGTGTTATAGTATTTCAAATTCAACAACTCTATACATTACTCAGCACTCACCAGTATAAGTGTGGTCAGCATCTGCCACCAAACAATATTATTGCAATCTTCCTGACTCTATTCCCTGTGCTCTACTTTTCATCTCTGTGACTTGTTTATTTTGCAACTGGAAGTTTATACCTCTTAGTACAATCGATAATAGTTAAGGGGATAGAATAGAAATAGAATAGAATAGAAATAGATAAAAGGGATTTAAGAGGTACAAACTTCCAGTTGTTTTTATTTCATTTTTATCCATACTTGCAGAGACTGATCATTGTCATTTGTGTTTGTAAACTAGTTGTGTTTCCTCTTGTGAATTATTTGTCCATGTCCTTGATCCAGTTACCTACTGATCCACTTACATTTGTCTACATGACACAATCACATGAAACTCATTGTATCTAACCATTTTTGCACACTAAAATATAAGCTATTTGAATGCTTTACCCGCTACTGGATAGAAAGGAAAAAAAAATTCCAAGACAGGAGTTCCCTTTTAAGGGGTTAACTACAAAGGAAAAAAGAGAATACCTGGGTTGTCTTTAGCCTGCCCCATCTCTACGGCTACGCTGGGGGTATGCTTCTCACTGTAGTAAATCAGGAGTTCCACATCTCGATCAAATTTGTGTCCTTCAGTCAAGGAAACCTGAGTTGAAAACAAGCAAAAGATCCATGTTAGAACTATCACGCTTGCTGCATGGGGCTGAGGTTAGAGCTTAGCACTGTAGGCTTCTTCCACAAGAGAGTATGTGGTCAGGAGCAGCGGCAAGAATAGAGAAGGCTCTGGAGAAGAAACAAGGATAAAGAAGGAACAAAGTGGGATTCCCTCTAGTTAACAGGGAAAATAGGGAACACTTTGGAAGGACTGAGAAACAAGATCAGAACCCAAAGAATAGAGGTGCCAGCAACAACAGTTCTTTCTTATGAATTACCTGGGCAGAGGTCTTATCATCTCCAAGGTACTCCATAGGACTGAAGGGGCAGTTGGATTGGATCCTCTCAATGCCATGCTGGGAACTGATGGTGGCAATCATGTTGAATGTATAGGGCAGTTCCTCCAAAGGGACTACAGGAGTCTTCATATTTAGGCAACTGTCCTCAGATGATCCTACAAAGAGTTACCTTAGTTCTGTTTCCTCTTCCCACACTTCTTAGCACCTCTACACCCTTGAGGGGTTTCCCAAATTATATCACCTACCACCAGTATTCGAAAAGAAAGGATACTCACCAGGGCGACAGTATCGAGGATTCAAGACAGCTGGGAGCACATAGCGCAGGGTCCCATCTGCTTCCAGGGGTAGCTCCTGCACATACTTCAGAGTGAGTGCCACCTTTGACCCAGGGTGCAGGTTGCCCACATTGCAACAGAAGACGTCCCTGGAGTACCTGTCCTCCTCCAGGAGGAAAGCTTGGCGGCGGTTGCTTAAGGCACTCTCATAGATGCTGTGGGCCTAAGGAGAATGGGGAAAGAGAGGCAATATCAAAGGTGGCTTGGATGAATGAAGAGATGAATAGTACAGAAAACAGAAATTGATGGAGAAGGCCTATGATTGGGCCTGCCAGGTTCACAGCTAAACTTTGAATGCCTCTGATTGATGCCCCTGCTCCCTACCTCAGATGACTTTAGGAAAATACCAGCTAAAGGGGAGTAGAAGAAAGCATTCAACATCAGCATTTTTTATGAAGGTGTGTAGAGATCCTGCATATATATTAAGGAAATAAAGGGAGAGAGGAGATAATCTACTCATCCCTAGTACCTTCCTCTTATCCTTTAATTCTGCTTTAATTTTCTTCCCATCGATCTCGGCTTCAAAGCTGTAGACAGCTGAGTCTTCATCCATGGGGAACACAAAAAAGGTCTCCAAAGGAACTTCCTCCTCATTCTCATAGTTTAAGGTGGCAGACACACCAGCCACAAACTCACGAATGGACAAGGTTACACTGATGCTCTTCAGTGGTACTGGAGATAGACCAGAGTACAAGAGGTGAACAAACTTTAATAGAAGTCCTCCTGCCAGCCAGGCATGGGGCAAGATGCCAAAGGGACAGTGGCAAGTAAAGATCATGAATCAAGCTTACCTGGTTCCTCACCGCGGGTTAGTAAACCACCAGGGAGCGCCATGGTGATGGGGGGCTACTGTGGAAAAGACACACCATGAATACAGTGATATGGTGGGGATTATCTATTCAAATACCAGACTTATGTGCTTCTCTCCAGCAGTGGAATATACTCAGGATTAATAATGGAGCTGGGAAGGAGAAAGTAGCTGTAAAGAAGGGACAAAGATGCCAATAGTAAGGCTCCTTCTAAATGCCAGACCCAAGTGGGGAAGTCCCCACTAAACAGAAGTCTCTGAAACCCCCCGAGGCTGGTTCAAATATCAGTTCCACTTTTTCAAAGGCGAGTTTAATATACCATTCCTTAGCTACATGGAATAGGTGTAATGCACTTAACCCCTGTGAACCTCAACATTCTCTTTGTAAATGAAAACCATATACCTATCTGTCTTAGACGCATATGTAAATTTTTATATATGAAGTCCCTAGAACAGTACCTGGCTTATAGGAAGCATTTAATGAATGATAATAAACTAGTCTTGCTCCTGTTGTAATTGTTAAAGTTGTTAAATAGACCTTGGCTATTACTTTGGATCATGCTATCCAGAGACGGGCTTGATCCAAAATGGTCCCCTGCAACTTAGATCACTTACTTTGTGACTTTCTTTGGGGGCTCATAATTGAAACCACTGTTGGCTTCCTCTGTCCAAGATATTCTTTTTTTTTTAATGTTTTATTCATTAATTTTTTTAAAGATTTTATTTATTTATTCATGAGAGACACAGAGAGAGAGAGAGAGACAGACAGACAGAGACACAGGCAGAGGGAGAAGCAGGCTCCATGCAGGGAGCCTGATGTGGGACTTGATCCCAGAACTCCAGGATCACACCCTGAGCCAAAGGCAGATGCTCAACGCTGAGCCACCCAGGCGTCCCACCAGACAACTCCTTCTTGTGATATGGTAACAAGGAGATAAATGGACATACCTAGATCATGACTTACATTATGATTCTTTCATCCAGAGAATCAACATGTAGGTCCAGTCCTAATCATTGGTCCTAGGGCCCCTGGTAGCTGACCTCAGCATTCTGAATAGAATCACTTGTGACCTTGCCTCTCCCTGCTCTGTCAAAGGGTGACATGATCTGCAACCCCCAGCAGCAGTTAGGGGGCTTTTCACTGAAAATACCCCTTCAGGAGCTAAAATGGAGCTGCCTGGTGAGCAGAGAATGCTGAAGGAAAGTGAAACTAATGTCCTTACCCAGAGTTCCAGGGGCAGATAAGTTACTGGAAAGCCCAACTTTCATTCAGGAATCCACAGGCCAGAAAAACATACAGGCTCTGGAGAGAGGCAACTTCCCCTCCTAGAGCAATGCCCCCACCCCCACTGAGGATTCCGAAAGCTTTCAGCAGGCCTTCTGTGCTCATCCCAGTCACCACTTAAAACCTCGCACCCTAACCCAATCCAGAGCAATGTCCATGTTGCTCATCCGTCTGATAGCAATGGTGTTTCTTATATACCATCCCCCATCTCCACAGGTCAGCACCAATTAATCAGGTTTTTTGTCCGTGTTTGTTATTTTGAAGAACTGGATTAAAAACCAACTGTGGCAATATGGGTCGCATTTGACAGAAACAGGGCAGTCAAGCAGCTGTGGGGAGAGGAGAGAATGTTCAGGAAAAGGGTTATCATGCAGACACTTGACTGGGGTAAGATCTCTGGTGGAACAGGCTGGTGCTGGGGGAGAGAAGAATCTCGAACATCAGTAGGAAGCTGAAAAACAGAAGGCCCCAGGAGCCAGGGGTACCACAGCCAAAGCTCAAAGGGTGGCAATACTCACCCATGGTGGCTTTCAGGTAAAGACACAGAAGCAGAGGAGTGTGTCCTACCAAGAAACAGCTCTATGTCCTGATTCTTTTTTTTTTTTTTAATTTTTTTCTATGTCCTGATTCTAACCCCAGCACAAACCCCTCACTTAGGGAAATTTGCTTTTCTGCAGCTTCTCCCGGACCCTTCGCAGTACAAACTATGGTGGGTCACAGTCCTCTGCCCCTCGGGATGGCATTTCAGAAATGCACCCAGCAACAGGTAGGCAAAGAGGGACCACAGGAGGTGACCCAGGTCAAAGCCTTGAATCTGAGGCAGCTGGGAGAAAGGCGGGGGGTGGGGTGGAGGGGGGTGCTCACTGACCCAGGGGGCTGCGTGTTACGGGGGCCCTTCAGGGATCCAGAAGTCTCCGCACCCTGCAGTTCAGCCGCCCTCCAGGGAGAGGGAGGAGCCGAGCGCTAGTGGCGCAGTGAGCCACTCCCCCGCAGCCTGTTGCAGGGGACCCTTGGAAAACTCGTGATGCAGCCCAACAGGCGATTTGAATGCGCAGTGGGGCTTGGAGAGAAACGCAAAGTGATTGCATCTTTAAAATTTCAGCCCTAGATTTGCAGCGTCCAAGCATTAACAGGGGCATCAGAGTCAGCCCCTGGAATATCTATACGAAAGGGTGCTGCAATCCCGCTGGGGGCGCGGGAGGGAGAGGTTTTAAACTTCATTTCCACATCATTAAATTAGATAAAATTGAGGAAACAGCAATTTTCTACAAGGAAGGAAGGAAGGAAAGAAAAAGAAGGAAAGAAAGAAAAAGAAAGAAAGAGAAAGAGAAAGAAAGAGTAAAGAGAAGGAAAGTAAAAAAAAGGGGGGGGAGGGATCTCGAGAGGATCAGGAGATGCCTAAATCCCTTTCCCAGCGCCCATAGGATTCCCCTAAACTGCAGAAAACCCCCAGGGACCGAACACCAGGACTCAGTCCCCCATCCCTTGGGTTTGCAGTTCAAACAAGCCCCAGAAGCTTTGGGGCAGAGAAAGGGCAGGTCTCAGCCGTCAGGGTGGAAGGTGGGATGGGGCCGGGTCGGCTGCCGGGTCACCTACCTTCTCCCGCAGGCTGAGGGCTCCGAGTCACAGCCAGAAGCAAACAGCTGCGGTCAAAATTTCCAGTAAGACCTGCCCCTTCTAGGGACCGGTTATAAAGTAGCGACCACTTGATTAAGGGATCAACGGAAAATTCTTCAACCCTAGAACGTTTGCTTGTTTTCCTTTCCTCTCTGCTCAGCACAGAGTCCGACACGGGGTTCAGTCCTAGGAGGTTCAGTCCTAGGACCCTGAGATCACAACCTGAGCCAAAGTCAGGCACTTCACTAACAGAGCCACCTGCCCTGTGCTAAGTATTTCTATGCAGTAACACAAGCAGCTCTTCTTTTAGGAAGGGACATGACCTTAAAAGAACTGGAAGAAAATAAGTAGCATTTAACACACACAGGGATAAGAAGGGCATATGTGTGGCCGTGGTAGGTGCTGAAATGAGTCAGACACTGTTCTCATACTTACAGACCTCTCTTTCCATTTTATGTAAATAGGCTTTTCACATTCAAAAGAATATTGTTGGCTTTAAAAGTTTACTCTTCTTATTGATCATAATTAGGTATTAGGTAGGATACGGAGCATGTGGCAGAGCCCAAATAACTGTTATGAATCACAGAGAAATTCATTACTTTCTCCTGTAGAAGTTGGTGCTGTTACAGTGGTTCTACTAGGTGAAAGCCTCAGGGACTTAGGATCCTTCTGTCTCATGGATTCTCCATTTTTAGGGATTTTTGCCCAATGTTCATAGTCTAAAATGGCTCAGAGTATATCTGCATTCCCATCAGTGAATAGAAAGAGGGGAAAGTGAGGACGAGGCCATACTCTTCTTTGAAAGGTGTGATGTGATGTCACACACATCATTTTTTGTTTCCCATTGGTCAGACCTTAGTCCTGAGGTCACATCTAGCTTTAAGGGAGGCTGGGAAATGTCTTTATTCTGAATGGCCAGAGACTTGGCTCAGCTTGGGCTAAGCTTGAGGATTGATATTGGAAGATACTTAGTCACATGCAGTCACGAGGACAGATTTTTGGGTGGGGACATCTAATCTAAAGTAGCTTGTCTTTATTCTCTAGTATACTACACATTTTGTTTTCCTTAAGCATTTATACTACCAGATTTTTTCTTATTTATTTCCTTGCTTATTTGTTTATTGACTATTTCCTCCCCCTGCAATGTAAGCTACAGCTAGGGAAGGATCTTTGTATCTTGTTATTGTCACAATGCCAATGTCTAGGACAATGCCTTGCCTACAGAGGAAGCCCGATATTTATGCTGGCTGAAAGAATGAATTACATGTTCTCTTTCAAAATTTGATCATTGGATTCATTTAACAGGGTATATGCCAAGAGTGAAATTATTCATTGTGTTTACACAAATTATGAATAAACAGATAAATAAAATGTATTCATATTTTTAATAGGTATAAAGGTCTGTTTAGTTATGTGTATTGTGGGGATCCTGGGTGGCTCAACGGTTTAACGCCTGCCTTCAGCTCAGGGTGTGATCCTGGAGACCCGGGATCGAGTCCCGCATTGGGGTCCCTGCATGGGGCCTGCTTCTCCCTCTGACTGTGTCTCTGCCTCTCTCTCTGTGTGTCTCTAATGAATAAATAAATAAATCCTTTAAAAAATTATGTGTATTGTGCCAGGTTCAGAGGCTTTTCATATAAGCATCCTTCCAAAAACCAGCATCGTATGTATGTTTTCTGATTCAGTTCCTTCCACCCCAACCACCATGTATATAGTCTGTGGCAGACCTGTAGTTTTGATCACTCTAGTCTAGTCAGATGATAAACTCTGCCCATGTTCCCAGCATCTCCCTGTTGTTGACCAGACACTGTAGCCAACAGAGGTTATAGTCAGGAGAAACAATACCAGGTATGATTTCTACTGAGAGAAAAGGATCATTCTCTCTCACAATTAGTTTGGTACATGTAAAGAACATAGCCCTAAAGCCTAATAATGATAAATTAGAATCTGTTCTTATATTGTGCTTTACTACGTGTGTTTATACGCACATACACACAGACATCACATCCATAAGATCCATAGGATTTTTAAAAACAACCCAGGGAGCAAGAGAGGAAAAAATAAAACAAGATGAAATCAGAGAGGGAGAAAAACCATAAGAGACTTTTAATCATAGAAAATAGACTGAGGGGCACTGGAGGGGAGGGGGTGGGGGGACAGGGTAATGTGATGTAATGAGCACCGGGTGTTATATAAGCCTGATGAATCACTGACTCCTACCTCTGTGGAGTCAATAATGCATTGTATGTTAAATTAATTGAATTTATATGTTAATAAATACAATAATAAATTATATGTTAAATTAACTGAATTTAAATAAAAATTTAAAAATAAGTAAAAACAACCTAGGGAGGTAGGTATGCCATTATTTCTATTTTATAAATAAGACAACAAACTCAGAGTAAATATGACTGACATTGCAGAGACCAAGATCAACCTGAGTTTTCATACATATTACCTTTACCTATACATATTCTCAATAGCAATATGATTTTTTCTTTAAGTCTCAGATTTGAATATCATTTTGAAATAAACAAGACATAAGAAACTTGAGCTTATAGTGTCCTTTAGCCAGGAAAATGAGGATAGATATTCTCACTTACTTACATTGTTACCCTCACCATCAAAAACCGTCCCCCCCAAAAAACCCAAAACCAGACACCTTAATTTTATGATCCTTATGCAAAACACATTAACCACCCATGACTGGAAGATTTGGTCCCTGTGAGCATTGCCCTGTCTCCTTGTCCCAACCCCCAGCCCCATGCTGCTAGGAAGGATGCAATCTTGGGACAAATGACTCAAATTAGAGATGGAGAGTTGATGATAATACAGTGCCCATACAGTTTTGGGCCTACTGCACTGTATTATTAGCAGGGCCTAGTGCACAGCAAGCCCTTGATAATTGAATGTGTTACAGTAATATGATGTGACTTGATGTGATTGTTGATGTTACCGTTCAAGCATTTCACTGGTTTAAAAAAAAAAAAATCTCTTCCCTTTATCTACCCTCTGATGTTCCCTTAGTGATTCATCTAAGCCCTCCTATTGTTCTTATCATACTTGAGCCCATTATGTGTTCTTAAAACTTTCAAACCTTTAAGTAACAAAATGCCTAAAATGCATGAAATTATTTGATTCATGAATAGATACATATAAATGCTGATGGTTATATATGCTTAGGTCTTGTGATTGCTATCCATAGTAGACATTGTAAGATAGATTTCAAAAGATCAAATGAATAAATGCTCAGGAATGTACACAAATCTTTCTTTTTAAAGATTTTATTATTTATTTATTTATTTATTTATTTGAGAGAGAGAGAGAGAGAGAGCACATGCAGGGGGAGGAGAAAACAGAGAAGGAAAAACAGGCTCCCTGCAGGGCAAGGAGGCCAATACAGGGCTCCATCCCAGGATTCTGGGATCATGATCTGAGCTGAAGGCAGATACTTAATCGACTCAGCCACTCAGGCACCCCTGTACACAAGTCTTACTCATTTCTATATAATCACTGGTAACTTGCAAATTTATATTTGGAGAGATCACATGAAAACCGAGCCCAAAAGGAACTTACTATATAGATGGATAGATAATAAATAGGATGGATTGAAAAAAAATACAGATCTAGCTACTAGATATTGAATTCTTGTTAGAACCAAGTGTCAAGCAATTTACACAGTAAGATGAACAGCTTTCATTTCAGACAGGGATAATAGCTGTCATCAGAAAACCTCTTACCTGCTTGTCAGAAACTCCTTAGAAGATGTTGACTATTATTTAAGAGTAATAATTGCCATCAACTACAAGCAAACATACTTTGGGCAAATAAGGACAAATAAGTACAAAAGGAGAGAAGCAGAATGAAGCTCATGGGTCTGAATCCCTGAGGATCAATAGAAAGCATACCTTCCTCATCCAGAGGCTCAAAAATTGTACAGAAAACTAGGAATCAGGTTTTGATAGATTTTTTTAAAAGATTTTATTTATTTATTCATGAGAAACTCAGAGAGAGAGGCAGAGACATAGGCAGAGGGAGAAGCAGGCTCCTCACAGGGAGCCTGATCCTCAGACCCCGGGATCACACCCTGGCCAAAGGCAGATGCTCAACCACTGAGCCATCCAGGCGTCCCAGGTTCTGATGTTTTAATATCGACTTGGTTTTGCTATTGAATTCAGTCTATGAGTCTAGGCTCAATTCCTACCACTATTACTTAATAGTTGTGTAATCTCGAGGAAACAACTTCTCTCATGATCCATGTCATCATTTGTGAAGTAGACTAATAATGCCTATCCCATATATATTTTGTGAGGATTACATAAAATATGATTTTTAAAGACATCTGTCACAAGTAGGCACTCTTTAAATGTTAGTTCCACCTTCCCTTTCTTGGGATTTTTCTCCTTTTCTTGGATTACCCTGGTTAAATCCTGAGAGTCTGGAAATTTTATAGCATTTAAATTCTCTGTTCTCTAGAGAAGGATTATTAGAAGCACTACCAGATTTCTTATATTTTTAATGACTCTAGAAAAATTAGTTTTTGTTTTTGTTACTCACCATGTGTTTCACTGTAATTACATGTAGTTAGACAAGACTAAAAATAAAACAAAACAAAAAAACTAAGCTAACAAAGAAAACAAAACTTCATCCTAATATTGGGTAGGGCAGAGTAAGGGGGAGGGATTCTATTAATAAAATTAACATTCCATCTATTTTCAATAATAATCATAGGAGTGAGTAGTTTGTGTTAGGATATGTATAAGCATTATTTCATTAACTCCTCACAATCACTTTGTGAAATACTATTATAACCCCATTTTATAAATGGGTATATTAAGATTCAGAAAGGACTACTGACCTTCTCAAGGACTTAGAGTTAATGAGAAACAAGCCTGTTCTTCACACCAGAAGCTTCAAGGTGGATACTTTTTTCACTATCTTAGAATTTCTTTTACAACCAAAAGAGGTAAGGGAATAGGTAGAAATTGGAGGGGTGAGGAATGGCAGGTCTAATCCCTGAGGTT